CCTCCGCCTCCTGGGTTCAAGCAATTCTCCGGCCTCAGCCTCCCGAGTAGCTGGGACTACAGGCATGCACCATCATGCCCAGATAATTTTTGTATTTTTTTAGTAGAGACGGGGTTTCACCTTGTTGACCAGGATGGTCTCGATCTCTTGACCTCGTGATCCACCCGCCTCGGCCTCCCAAAATGCTGGGATTACAGGCTTGAGCCACCGCGCCCGGTCTTAAACTTCTTTCTTATCATATTGGTTCAGTAATAACTCACCCAATTCATGTTTCAGCTCCCCAGATCTAGAATATTTCTTTCTTTCTTTCTTTTGTTTGTTTTTTGAGATTTATTCACAAATATGAATCTATAGAAATAAATTTAAGATGTTATTTAAGTGTACTTTGTTTATACGGGGGAATGGAAGAAGATACACCTAAGTGTTAACAAAACTGGGTATTGGGATTGAGGATGTCTTACTTCACTTGTTATACTTTCTGTCATTTTCAAAGTTTCCTGCAATTAACATGCAGTTTTTCCAATTAGGAGAAATATTTTAATTTATTTTTATTGTTTAATTAATTAACAAAAGTTCAATTAAAATATTTTTCCTAATTAGCTGGAGTGCAGTGATAAGATCAAAGCTCACTGCAACCTTGAACTCCTGGCTTAAATGATTCTCCTCAGCCTCTCAAAGTGCTAGGATTATAGGCATGAGCCACTGCACCCAGCCTATTATTTTAATTGAGGAAAATTATCTATAGTTATTGTGTACAGCATGTTTTGAAATAAGTGTACATTGTGGAATGGCTAAATCAGACGAGTTGACAGCTGCATAATCTCACATATTTATCTTTATCATTTTTTATAGTGAGAACATTTGAAATCTACTCAGCCATTTTCAAGAATACAATATGTTGTTATTAACTACAGTCAAAAAACGTTTTAAGACATTGAAACAAACCTAGATTTTCTGAGTGCCTTAAATCAGCATGACACCAAATTTACCTACATAAATTACATCTCACCCTGTTACTAGAACATTGAGATGATCACCTAAATGTCTGAATTTCAGTCATTCAGATATTTATTGAGTGGTCCATGTGCAGGCTCCTGTGTGAGATGCTGCAGGTGGCCTGAAGGAGAAAAGGCCATTTGTACTTTCAAGAGCTCATTTGTACTTGAAAATCAAGCCATTAATATGTGAAAAGTCAAAAAGCAGAAGAGATGCCACAGGTAATGCATAATGCATTGTCAGAAGGAGTGGCATCAATAATACGTTATAATTCAGAGGAAAAAGAGATCCCCAAGCGACAGAATGCTCAGGGAAGAGCTGCTGAGAGGGAATTATTTGAAGGACAGCGCGATGGGTGGATGGAAGGAGGGGAGAATAGCAATCCAGCTAAGGGTGTCTTGCCAACCTTGGCTGTAGGGGACAGCTTTAGTGGGACTGATTGTCTTTTAACAACGTTGGATTTATATTTGACCCCGTAAATAGCGTCATGAGGAAACAGCGGAGGATACTGCAAAGCAACCATACAAGTGAGTATAGGTAAATGGCTATGTGTAGAGACCCTGTAGCCAAATAGATTGTGTTTAGGATCTCAGTGCTGGCCTTCCTAGCTGTGAGTTGCTTTACTTCCCCGGCTTCAGGGTTATGTCTGTAAAATGGGGATGGCACCTGTTTTGTGGCAATTCCTTTTTTTTGAGTCAGGGTCTTCCTCTGTGACCCAGGCTGGTGTGTCCAGTGGTGCAAGCACAGCTCAGTACAGCCTGAACCTCCTGGGCTCAAGCAATCCTCCTGCCTCAGCCTCCCGAGCAGTTGGGACCATGCACACCACCATGTCTGGCTAGTTGTTAAATTTTATAGAGACAGGGTCTTGCCATGTTGCCCAGGCTAGTCTCGAACTCCTGGGTTCAAGCAAGCCCCCTGTCTCAGCCTCCCAAAGTGCTGGGATTACAGGTATGGGCCACCGTGCCCGGCCTGTTTCATGTTTTTAATTCATACATGTCTTATGTTTACTGTACACACCAGTATCATAAAAAACATTTTGCATCAATTATCTTATTTAATCCTCAGAATAACAACCTTTGAGGTAGACACTATTGTTGTCCCTATTTTACATAGGAGAAAACCAGGTTCTAATCCCCTGTGGAGGGATAGAATTCAGACACAGGTGCTTTGAGGCCAGAGCCTTCACCACACTGTGTTTAGTATTGAAAATGCTGGCCGAGTGTGATGGCTCACATCTGTAATCTGAGCAATTAGAAAGCCAGGGGTGGGAGGATGGCTTGAGCTCAGGAGTTTCAGACAAGCCTGGGCAACGTAGTGAGACCCCATTCTTCACAGAAAGATTTTTAAGAAAGGAAATGCTTGGTAGAGGGCCTGGCATATGTAGATAACCAAGGGCTGATTCTTGGACCAGAAAATTCTACTCAAAATTATCTTAAATTTATAAACATATCCATTTTCATAAGGCCTGTAAGAACACTGGGCTCACTCATGATTTTGAGGTGGGAGCAACCCAATGTACCAAACCATGGGGTCCTGGGACGTCCCTGGTCCTAAACAGTGTCTGTTCCTATGACTGTCAATAAGTCACTCACCAGGGAATAGAGAAGGCCAAAATGCCAGGCTGAGGGAAGGGAGGAATGGGGAAATGCCGAATACCATGGGAAGGGGTAACAGAGGGTTACAGGATCGACTTCGCCCTTGTATCAGAGAAATCTTTCCTGGCTTCTCTTCGGCTCTGGTCACCATGTCAGGGGCCTTATCCCAGGTGGTTAGGAGGCTTGAGCTCGTCTGGAATATGGCACAAGAGCCTAGATGAACATTCCAGCTCAACAATTTTATACATTCCTCGGGCACATCATTTCCTCTCCCTGAGCCTCAGCTCTCCTGTCTATGTAATGAGAGGGGTGGGCTAAATCAGTTTAGTTCTGACATTTTGTTATTTTAGAATTTTTCTAAAATGGACTATAAAGTGAGATTTAGATTCACCAGAAAGAGCAATCAAGTCTCAACCAGATAGGCCACTTCACTAGTCACACTTATTTCTAGGTGCAAGCACTGCCAATTTCTAGCAGGAAAGCAAGTCATCCAGAGTTTCTAATTCGTAATTTTGGGGAAAGCAGTTTTACAGGAAACTACTAGAGATGAATGCAATGTGGATGCAACTTAGTTCCAAGTCTAAATCAGCAAGAACACAAAAAATTGCAAGCTACTCAAGCAGTATTCATGGATTTATTCTGCTAGTTCCCACAAAGCTCCAGATGAATTCGAAGGGGTCAGATTATTCTGTTTCGTCGATTGGCCTACTAAATTTTAGGGAAACTAGGCACCTTCTACAGATGATGCACTTTGTTGGCTGGGACTGCATATATTACACTCCGCAATTCATAGCATAGTACTTAGAGACACTGCAGGGAATGGGGGGAAAATGTGTAACACTCTGTACACATAGCCATTAAATCAATTTGCATACAATAAATGTTGTTTAACCTTGAGGAAGTCACTTAATGTCTCAGAGCCTCAGTTTTCTCCTCCTTCAATTGGGCAGTCAAATGTCTCTTTATTTGACTTATTTTCCAGTTGAAGAAACTGAGGCACCAAGGTGTCAAGGGACTTCACTGAATCAGTGAAAGAAAACTCTTTGGAGAACTTTAGCACAGAAGAGTTAAACCAGGCCTTTCTCCATCTCTCCAACCTGGGAGGGGCTCAGAATTATTAGGAGGGCTACACGAGACCATGAAATCTTCTAGTACCGTCCCTGCCTCCTTGTCAGAACTCAGGGCCAGTGCTGGCTTCATGGACTTTGAATCCGTGCAGCCTAGCAGGGCCCTGTGCTCACAGGCGCCCCACAATTGGCCTAATGCTTTGTGGCTGTAATCATAAATTCGTAATAATTTTTTAGTAATGGACCCCAGATTTTCATTTTGCGTTGGGTTCCACGAGTTATGTAACAGATCCTACTCAAGGCATTAAACTGGGTAGAATTGCCAAAGCTCACAAAATAGGTCGGCACACAGAACGAGAAGCACAGTCAGCCAATCAACACGTCTTCCTTGAGTGCCTGAAGCCTCCCTCCCAGCACTGCATCGTCTGAGAATTTCAGTAATGAAATTCTCCAGAAGAGATTTCTTTCACTGATTCAGTCAAGTTCCTTAACGCCTTGGTGCCTCAGTTTCTTCAACTGGAAAATAAGGCTCTTGGTAGCATCTACGTCTTCAGGGCTGTGAGGATGAAATGAGCCAATCTGTGTAAAACTCTTTTCGTAGTCCCTGGAGATAGTAAGGTGTATCTGAGGGTCAACCGTTTCTGTTTTGTGCCGTTATTGGCTTTTCCTTATCCAGATGTTCAGATGACTTTTTTTTTTGATGGTGCACATTCTCCAACCTCCATTCATAAAATTTTTAAACTTCCAGGCTGGCTGTCTTCCCTTCACATAGTCCTTTGCTGCTCAGAACAAACCTCAGGGAAAACACTCCTATGGAGTGTTTACAGGGGAGATATTCTCTGAGACCTGGTTCCCATTTGACTTAGAAATTCACCGCTGTTATTGGTGGAGCACTGTACTGGCACTAAACGTATATTGTCTGAATCCTTGCAGCAACCCTGTTAGGTGGGTGTTTTATGCCCATTTTACAGATAAGGAAGCTGAAACTCACAAAAGTTTAGCAGAGTGAGGATTTGGAACCAGTTTTTGCTGGACCCAAAGTTCACGTACCTTCTGGCCAGAGCCCCGATGGCTGCTGCCGCTGCTAGTGCAGACAGATCTCAGGTCTCAGGCACAAGAAATTCACGTCCATCAAGTGTAATCTTAGGCTCACTGTAAGCCGATTTCAAGTTGAATTCTGCACCTTGGAATCTCAGCACATAAACAGAGAATCCTCTCTAAAACTTCGACACACATATGTTCGCAAGCAAATGCACATTTCAAACTAATTTAAAATCCTGTCTTCACAAATAGTACTTACCCCAGGACTCTGAGCACAGTCTGATTCCAGTGTGTGTTTCAGCGATATCCTAACAGAAACATCTCCCCCACCTGTCTCCAGCCCCTACCCAGAAGCTTCTGTGTCACTGGAGGTCAGTCACAAGTGTTTCAACATTTCCAGCAAGGCGGGGGGACTGCCGCTCCGAAGATCGCAATCTAGCTCGTTGAATACGGCAGGGAGAAGCGAGAGATAATGCCTCCAGTGTCTTTTGGCCATGCTCTGCCCATCTCTCTGGTAGACAGTTTGTGTAGATGGAGAAGATTAGTAATCTCTTTCCCTCCCTGTGTGAACGCATTTAAATATCACAAATACACACGCAGGCAGGTAGAGTGGAAAAAGCCCTAAAGGACGAGCTAAGAGGCCTGGGATGAAGTCCCGGCTCTGGCACCAGTGTGCCACATGAGCTCAGACAATTTGCTTTCTCTTAAAGGGACTCATGTTCTTCCTCTATAAAATGAAGAAGTAGGTCTCTAGATATCAGCAAAGATCCCTTCCAACCTAGCTCCTCTCTGAATCTGTATGTGATGTGGCCAAAGATTGAGTAGGCGACATAGGGCAATGGATAAGAATACATTTTTGAGGACAACTTCTTTGTCATTAAGCATCAAATGAGGCCAACCAAAAATGGCTGTTACAGTTGGTATGATAACACCAGGAAGGGAAGGAAGGTTGATTTCAGGCTCTTTGTGAGGGCGAGGGGTCTAAAACCCCAAAATAGAAACTTGAGAGGAAAGAATGAGAGAAGGGTAATATGACCCCAATACAAAACAGACAAAGAAAACAGATTTGTAGGCCTCTACGGTGTCATTCCCTTGCTGTGAACCGTTACTCAAATTGCCTGCTGCACCAGGCAATTTGAGTAACAGCTTCTGAGTTAGATATCGTCAGGTTTCAATCCTGGCGCCACCGCTTGGTAGCTGGGTGACTTGGGAAAAGTTACTTAACCTTTCTGATTGTCAGTTTTTTCATCGTAAAATGGACTTAATAATAAATATCTGATGTTTTTTAGATCTCATTAAGGTTGTTTAAGGTTAAATAATGTAAATAAGTAGGCAAAGCACTTAACAGAATGTTTAGTAAACAAGAGATGGTAGCTATTCACATTTTTATTCTCTAAATGCAAGTCAGAAAGCCACCCCTCCGGCTGAGTCTCTTTCAGTGTTTTATGATCCCTGTGTGTATCACAGCTCACTCCGAAATTACGCCTGTAGCTGCAGTTTTCTTTCCTCTGCACAGTTCATGTTAAAAACTTGAAGCCCCTTAATCACTCAAGATTTGAGGAAAGCAGACGAACACTGGTAGCAATGTGGAGTGATTTCCTAACTGGGCTCTCCACCAGAAACGGGATTGGCTGCAAGAAACAGACCTCTCCGACACCAAACTAGGAAGGAAGAGGTGTTTTATTACGGCCCCGGGAGCGAGGCGACATGCTTTGTCTAACTGCCAAGCTCCCCTAACAAAGAGAAGCTCTGTCTTTATATAGGCTTACACTCTAGATATTACACGTGAAAGGATCTTGGGTTTACAGTTTTAGAAATTACATGTGAAAGGGTCTTGGTCAATGGAGGAGGAATGGGGTGGGGGTTTGATTTTGTTCAAGTTAAAACAATATCTTCTGGAGAGATTCCCTCATACCACGCCTGCTATCTATAGGAAGGTGATTTAGGAGATGCCAGTCAGCCAGCCTTTTCTTCTATTGAAATGCAGTGTGGAAGTCAAGGGGGAGGTGATCCTAGATGCCTGGGTCTCCTACCTCACACCCACTCCAGGTTTGCCCCGCCAGTGTCAATACGCACTTTGCTCTGCTCCTCACTCAGCCAAGGACACTGAGTAATCAATTGTAGCTATAGCAAACTGTGGGGATCATGCCAAGATGCTTGGCTTGCTATTTCTATTACTCATTCACAGGAACCCAGTGTAGATATGGCAGCACCCAATGTCATGTAACATTCATACAGCTCCAGCCTTCTGTGTGGACCACTCTCAGACCAGAACCTTCCATGATGCTACTCCAAGATTCACAAGATCATAGGGTTGTTAAAGACCTTTGAACACAACACATCTCAGCGTCATTTTAGAGATCCTCATTTAATTAGGGCCAATGATGGGGCATTTTTATCACGTGTCAGAGATAATGATTCCTTTATTTAAGCAACACTTTTGTGCACGCTCTTGCTAGGACTGCGTTGCAGCAATATGCTTTCATCTTTGTAAGACACATCACAGGTTAGTAGAAAATCCACTTGGCTTGAACTTCAATGGCCTAAGGATCTGGGGCATTTATCCTCTCTGGACTACATTTTTCTTATATCTGATTACAAGACATTTTGATTAGATCATTTCCAGCATCCTTTCTGCTTTAAAATCTCACGGTTTTGTGTATAACGTGTCATCCGCAACTCTGCTTTAAATAGCAAAGTGAGAATTATTGAAGTCTGTGTCTTATTCTCCGTATCCCTACCAGCTGGGATTGTGCCTGTATGTAGTAGGTGTTCAATACATGCTTGTGACGTGAATAAATGAGTGAATTGAGGTGCTGTGTTATGTGTACACGGTGTGCATTGTGTCCACTCCCTGCTACATGCAAACACTTGCCAATGATAAGATGATTTGCTCAAAAAGACTCTTCGGCCTGTAGTTCTAGCCCTTTGGAAGGCCAAGGCAGACAGATGGCTTGAGCCCAGGAGTTTGAGAACAGCGTGGGCAACATATGCAGAGACGAGGTTTCACTATGCTGTGTATACGTGTGTGTATATATAGAAAAAAGCCAGACGTGGTGGCGTGTGCCTGTAGTCCCAGTTACTCGGGAGGCTGAGATGGAAAAAATCGTTTGAGCCCGAGAGGCAGAGATTGCAGTGGGCCATGATCATGTCACTGCACTGCAGCCTGGGTGATAGAGTTAGACCGTATTTCAAAAAGAAGGCACTTTGCCTGCTCCTACTCAGGGGCCGCTGGGAATGGCTCATGCTGGTGCTTCCTACTGAGGTCTGGGTTCAGGGCTCCATCTGCCAAGCCCTGGGACTTGTGGCCCCCTGTTCTCTGCTTTGAGCTGACAGTCTTCTGCCCTGAGGGTAGGACGCTAGGGGAGATCAAACAGTGACAAGTGAAGTTATAACATCTGTAACATCAACAGGAAGCCATTTTTGATGGTTTATCACCCAGTGGAAAAGGAACCTCTGATAACACAGTTTCACCTCCTACCCCATGCCCTGGCCCATTTCGTAAGATAACAGCCTCTTTTCCAACCCTCCCCACTCTGTGTATAATGTCTCCTACATTTGTGGGACACAGTGCTTCACAGAAAAAACAGCTACTCTCTGTAGGAGAACTATTTTCTCTATTTTGAAGCAGGGAATGTTGTGTCAACAGAATTGGAGATTTTTTCTTTCTTTTTTTGCCCAAGCCTCAGGCTCGCAAAATAACAGTAAGCCTGCACATGCAGCTCTCATATGAGGCGTCAGAAACAGGATTGGGGAATTTTTGACAGGGGAGGAAAAAACCCTACGGTCTATGCAATCACTCTGGTACATTTTTGCATAATGCCTTGTCTGCATACTTGCATTTAAAAGAATAGTTTTCCACATTATAAGGAAGGATCATTTAAAACCCACCATTCTGGTTATGTCACCCTCTGCTCAGAATTCTCCAGTGGCTTCCCATTACAAACAGGATGAAAGCCATGATCCTGAACGAGGTCTATAAGGCTTGCCCTGCCCCCTAGCCCCCGCCCCGCCATAACTGCAAGCCCTTTCAACTGCATTTCTTCCCCTTTCCTTTCTTTCCTGTCTTCACCCTCTACCAGCCTTTCTCCCACCTCAGGTTGTCTGCAAATGTGGGTGCCTCTGCATCCACACAGTTTTCATAGTACTCGTAATGTCTGCTAAATACTTTGCCTTGCTGATATAGCCCTAAATTCCCAGCCATTCCTTTGGGTCTTCATTCAGTCATTTCCAATGTGGTAGTATTGGCGACTACACTGTGATGGATACCTTTTTACATAATAAGTTTTTGGTTTGTTTTCGGTTACTTCCTTAATTTAAAGTTCCAGGAGCAGACACCGAAGTTAAAGGAAACGTGTCTTTGTGGCTCTTGCATCATATTGACCTTCTGCTTTCATTTCAAGTCCATTGGACTACACCACTAGCAGCATGTGAGTGTATCTATTTCACTACAACCTGGATAGCAGTGAATTATCATTTTTCAGTAATTATATAATATCTCCACTGGTTTTTAAATGTATTTTTTAAAATCTATTATTGGCCAGGCACAGTGGCTCATGCCTATAATCCTAGCACTTTGGGAGGCCAAGGCAGGTGGATCACAAGGTCAGGAGTTCGAAACCAGCCTGGCCAATGTGGTAAAACTCTGTCTCTACTAAAAATACAAAAATTAGCCGGGTATGGTGGCATGCACCTGTAGTCTCAGCTACTCAGGAGGCTGAGGCAGGAGAATCGCTTGAGCCTGGGAGGCAGAGGTTGCAGTGAGCCGAGATCATGCCACTTCACTCCAGCCAGGGAGACAGAGCGAGACTTTGTCTCAAAAAAAAAAAAAAATCTGTTATTAGCAATAAAATGTTTTACTATTTTTCAGCACCAGCCACTATATCAGTTGCTTCATGTATACTTCTTTAATTCTCAGAACAACCTTATAAGGAAGATATCATGAACACTATTTTAAGATGAAGAAACTCAAGACTGGGAGGTTAACTTGCTCAATGTCACAGAGCTGTGTAAGTAGCCGAATCAGGATTCGAATTCAGATCATTTATTATTGTTTTCATATTACTTCAAAAGCCATTTGCTTTATGCAATATTTTTCTACCTCTGCATCCCCCCAGCTAATTGGCTCCTTGCACAGTTAACATGTCATGGGTGAGGGTGCAGTCCAGCAGGTCTAGACAGAATAATACACATGGCTTCATGTGTGCCTTTAGGACAGTGCTCTATAGACAGTGGCTTCTTGCCCCCCAGGCACCACTACCACCTTTCCCCCTCCTTTCAGATTAAACTTTTTATTGATTAAAGGTCTCACTCCATACACTGAAGGTGAACCCTAATGACAGGTGCATTAAAATGTCCACCGTATAGAATAAGCTCATATGAAGTACTCTGTTAACTAGAAAAGACTACAAATATCAGGCTTTGTTTTTTGTTTAATTAAATTAATTAATTTACTTATTTATTTATGAGAAGGAGTCTCTCGCTGTCCCCCAGGCTGGAGTGCAGTGGCACAATCTCTGCTCACTGCAATTTCCGCCTCCCAGGTTCAAGCAGTTCTTTGCCTCAGCCTCCCAAGCAGCTGGGATTACAGGTGGCTGCCACCACGCCCAGCTAATTTTTGTATTTTTAGTAGAGACAGGGTTTCACCATACCATCTTGGCCAGGCTGGTCTTGAACTCCTGACCTCGTGATCCACCCACCTCGGCCTCCCAAAGTGCTGGGATTACAGGCATGAGCCACCGCACCCCGCCAAACTTTATTTTATTTTTTACTTTTTTGGAGACAGGGTCTCGCTTTGTTGCCCAGACTGGAGTGCAGTGGCACGATCACGGCTCGCTGCAGCTTCAAGCTCCTGGGCTCAAGTCGTCCTCCTGCCTCAGCCTCCTGAGTAGGCCCAAGCCACCAAGCTTGGCTAATTATAAAAAATGTTTTGTAGCTACGAGGCCTCACTATGTTGCCCAAGCTGGTCTCAAACTCCTGGGCTCAAGGGATCCTCCTGCCTTGGCGTCCCAAAGTGCTAGAATTACAGGCATGAGCCACTGCATCCCTCCTGTTATGTAACTTTAAATATGAGTTAACTATCCCTTACCCAAAATGTTTATGACCAGAAATATTTCAGATTTGATGGGGAAGGGGGTTTGAATTTTAGAATATTTTCATATACATAATGAGATGTCTTGGGAATGAAACCCAAGCCTAAACACGAAATTCGCATATGTTTCTTATATACCTTATACACATAGCCTAGAGGTAAATTTATGTAATATTTTGAATAATTTTGTGCATGAAACAAAGTTTATGTGCAGCAAAGCCTCAGGAAGCAAAGGTGTCGCTATGTCAGCACCCATGTGGACAATCTGTGGCTATTTGGCATCACCATCATTCATGTCTCTGAATTTACTTGCTACTGATAAGCAATCATTTTCTTCCACTTATTCACACATAAGTACTTAACAGCAGAAAATATGACATGCCCTTAATATAGTGAAAAAAGAATGTGTTCAGGGTAACTAAGCAACTAAGTAGCATCCCTGTAATACCTATACCAGCGTGAGACAATAGCAGCAACAAACATCTCCAGACTTTCATTCTCTACCTACGATGTTGCAGCCTTGAGTGCCTGGACTCAGGCGATCTTCCTGCCTCACGTGGCTGTAAGCCTACAGGCGCTCACCACCAGGCCCTGCTACCTTTTTAATTTTTTGTACAGACAAGTTCTCACTATGTTACCCAAGCTGGTCTCGACCTCCAACCCTCAAGCCATCCTCCATCCCTCTCCTCCCAAAGTTCTGGGATTAGGGGTGTGAGCCACTGCACCCAGCCTCATTGTGTTGCTTATAGGCACTTCTGCTGTATTAAAGTTGTCTTGATTGTCACTATTATAACAACCACCTCGAATCAGAACCATTTCAGCTATTTCACCATTGGTCAATGAATGAATAACTGTAGCCTCCTGAATATTAAAAACTTCTTTGATAGACACTTCTTCCAGCTTACTTACAAACTCTGATGATGTATATTTTGCATATGTAAAGAGCTTAGACATCTTTTTTTTTTTTCACTTGACTTAAGAAATCCTTCCAAGTCACCACCTGTTCATCATCATCACTGAACACAGTTGCAGGGCAGAAATCGTGTCAGGCATGCACAGCTGTGTCTTTGTGTCATTGTGTTCCAAGCATTGGTAGCAACTAGAAGCCATCCTTCAGCTAAATTCCTTTTGAAAACCTTCCACACCCACACCTCTGTTCACTGCTGCCAGCATGCTGTTCAGGAAAGTGTTTTTATATTTATTCTTTCCTGATCTAAGGATATGCTGGTCATATGGCTGAATTAATGAAGTCACATTTGGGGGAAAGTACATGGCATAAACATTTTTTATGAGAATTTCAACTGGAAGACGAGCAGAACAGTTGTCAAGGAATAATAAAATCTTGCAGTGGCTATCCAGTCCAACTTCCCTGCAGTGGATGTGAGCCTCTGTTACAAAAGGTTTATGAAACAAGCATGAAAGATGTCCCTGGGCCAGGCGCAGTGGCTCATGCCTATAATGCCAACACTTTGGAAGGTCAAGGAGGGTGGATTGCTTGAGACCAAGAGTTCAAGACCAGCTTGGGCAACATGGCAAAACTCTGTCTCTACAAAAAAATATAAAAATTAGCTGAGGGCGGTGGCACATGCCTGTGCACGCTTGCAGTCCCAGCTACTCGGGAAGCTGAGGCGGCAGGATGGCTTGAGCCCAGGAGTTTGAGGCTGCAGTGAGCTGTGATCATGCCACAGCACTCCAACCTGCGTGACAGAGTAAAACACTCAGAAAGCACACACACACACACACACACACACACACACGACTGCCTGGTGATCAATGTTTTTTTTGTCAGCATAATAATGGACTGGTAAGAAATTCACTTATAGAAGCTGGGCGTGGTGGCTCACGCCTACAATCCCAGCACTTTGGGAGGCTGAGGCAGGCAGATGACTTGAGGTCAGGAGTTCAAGACCAGCCTGGCCAACATGGTGAAACCCCACCTCTACTAGAAATACAAAAAGTAGCCAGGTGTGGTGGCACGTGCCGTAATCCTAGCTACTTGGGAGACTGAGGCAGGAGAATGGGTTGAACCCGGGAGACCAAGTTTGCTGTGAGCCAAGATCGCACCGCTGCACTCCAGCCTGGGCAATAGAATGAGACTGTCTCAAAAAAAAAAAAAAAAGAAAAGAAAAGAAAAAAGAAATTCACTTATAGAAAACAACAGGCTTTTGCCTCTCACAGCAAGTGTACACTTAATGCATGCCTGTTGCATTAGCACATCTAAGCACAGTTGCTGTCCTCTCCTTGGCATCCTTAATTCCTGTAGGGGCTGTCTCATCAACTGTAGTCAGTGTCTTTCTGGGGCAATAATGCCAGAACAGTGATGTTTCATCAGCATTAAAGACTTGTTCTGGCCATGCACTGTGGCTCACTCCTGTAATCCTAGCACTTTGGGAGGCCGAGGTGGGTGGATCACTTGAGGTCAGGAGTTTGAGACCAGCCTGGACAACATGGTGAAACCCTGTCTCTACTAAAAATACAAAAATGTTAGCCGGGCATGGTGGTGGGCACCTGTAATCCCAGCTACTGGGAGGCCAAGGCAGGAGAATTGCTTAAACCTAGGAGGTGGAGGTTGCAGTGAGTGGGCATCATGCCACCACACTCCAGCCTGGGTGACAGAGTGAGACTCCATCTCAAAAAAAAAAAAAAAAAAAAAAGGCTTGTTCTGGCATCAGATT